AATTCTAAACCCAGATTCTGTGCTCACACAAGGAAGATTTATTCTGTTCTTCTGATAATAGGATAGATATCCTGGATCCATAGCCACTTTTCCTTAATTTGTGTGGGATTACGAAGTGCAGAGTTTCTGTTATTTTACCTGGACTGACATCTATGATTATATATTTTTTTCTCAGCTGTCCTAAGTATTTAATTCTATAGTATATTGTAATGGTTTTCAATTGGTATCCCTTATCTTCAGAATCAAATGGGGGGTCTCATCATCCAACATTGATACAGAGAGCCTTGTTTAAATTTAAAAAAACCTTTCCCAGTGTGGTGTCTTCTAAATATCTCCAGATGCTATCACTGCCACCCAATTTGGCCATGGTGAGATCAGTTTTAGAATTCATTTCATCAGGTCAATGAAAATCATTAAATCATATCGTAATGCTTTAGTAAGGCACCACATGCTCTTGTTGCTGAAATTTATACAACTGCCTCCTTGGGGAATAATATCTCTTACTCAAGAGTTAACAGCTAACAATAAGATACTAGAAAAGCATCCATTTGGAGCATGAAGAGAGAGTTTTTCCTTTAGGCAAACAGCACACATACAATCCTATTCTATGTATACTGAGTTCAAAGAGATTTGTTGCTGCATAGGTCTCCAGCCTCAAAATGAGAAGGAAAGGCATTTTTGTTAAGGCAGTTTTGAGAATCATCGGGCATTTCAATAAACTACACAGCACATCCGTAACATTCTGAATCAGAAACCCATTCACACTGTAAAACCACTGATAAAGACATATAGCATATTTCCAATTATGACAGCTATTTCATACAGCATTTCTAACAATTATAACTGTTTCAGGCACTGATTCTTAAGCTCTGTCATTACAAAAATGGAAATGTGAATTCTTATGGTATTTTAAAAGCAGTAGTCAAAAGGTGGAGAGACATATGGGACTAATGCAATTGTGGCTTAATAAATAATACTAAAAGTGAAGGGAGGGAATGGGACATATGCATTTTATAAAATTTGATACTTGGTTGTTGTGATGGCTTCAGTTTGTTCTGCAACACTCAAGAGCAGTTGAGTATTTACGTTTTATGTTTTAATTATATTTTAGCATGGAGGTTTAGGGTAAGTTACATTTGAGGTCTAAAGTAAATGAAATAATTTCAAAGCTGCTTTTTCAGAAGGCAACTGGACTTTCTTGTTTTTCTTTGAAGATGTTTCACTTCTCACCCAAGAAGCTTCTTCAGCTCTGACTAGATGGTGGGGAATGGAAGGATTTATATTCTAAAAGAATGCAAATTACCAGCTGTCTGCAAGGAATATAAATCCTTCCATTCCTCACCATCTAGTTGCCTCCTGAAAAAGCAGCTTTGGGACATCCATGACCTGGATGAATGAGGATCTCCATAGACATTTAGCTATGCACTTTGGAATAAAATAATCCTGTATGGTTTTCACTCATACAAAATGCTTTCCTATTTTTCATTCTTTGAGGGATCCTTGGTACTGTCTGAGCTTGGTTGCTTTCTTGCAGACATTTCATTACTCAAACTAGATAACATCATCAGTACCAGAATGTTACCTAGTTTGGAAAATGAAACATCTGCAGGAAAACGACCAAGCTCAGAGAACACCAAGGACCCCTCATTTCAACTCCGAGCTACAAATATTCTCTTTTATTGATTTTCATTCTTTGCTATTCACAATATTAACAATGTAAAATTCCCATTGAATATGAAATATGAATATAAAATCAGGTGCTTAGATGGAATATATAAGAACAGACACTATTTTAAGCACAGTTAGCTTTACCCTACTAAATTTAATAGACGTGCATAGAAAAAGTGTCTTTCGCTCATCTATGAATAATGGTATTTATGTATCCATGAATAACAGAGTATTTCTCATATGTTATTGCAGAACTCACACATATAACCACAAGGTTATAATATAGGAATTATTATTCCTATGTCACAGATGGGAAGCTGTGGTAAGAAAAAAATGAATTGCCTAAAGCTATCTAGCAAGTCTGTTATTCATTCTGATAATATGCTGTTGGTAATTTAATCTCTGAACTAATATATTAGGTCAGTTCTCAAAAAAGCTTTCCATTTAACTCAGCAGCATTGGCTGCTAAATACAGTTAAGTTTTTTAGAAGAGAATTTCATTAAAGTTCTTACAGATGGTGTGTTGAGGTCTTATACTTATTTACAGGGCTTTTTTTCTCATAGAATGCCCAGAACAGAGTTCCGGCACCTTTTTTGGATGGAACCTTGTAGGGTAGGCAAGGCGGGTTGTATGACGTGTGTGAGTTCCGGCACCTTTTTTTTTTTTTTTTTTACAAAAAAAGCACTGCTTATTTAATCATAAGGTTGCCAAGGAGTGTGTGGGAAAATGACTATCTTGTCTTTCGCTCTATAATAACCTAGTATTCTGCTGCCTTCCTGGTTTCCCAGGCTTGTTGAAATCCACAGGGAAGTCAAACCCTTTGAGAGAATTCCCATTGGGGCTAGTCAGACTGGGAACTGTAGGCAGGAGCAGCCAGAAAACACCAACAGCTGCAGATTCTGCAATTCCAACCATCAAGCCAGTTTAAAATTTTATTACCAAATAACTTCCCAAAAGAAAGAAAAACAGAAACCCCGTTTGGAAAAGAACATTTTCAGATACTGCTAGGCTGGTTCAGCACAATGCAAGTACTGTCATCCTTGTTTAGCAACCTCAGATGGGATCAGCAATTCAGTTGTTAAGCAAAGCAGTTGCTAAGTGAAACATGATTTTATGCACTTACTTCAAGTTTACTTTGTAGACCTGTGAAAGTTGTAAATGGAAGGGCAGGTCACAAAATTACTTTTTCTTTAACTATTTAACTACAAGCAGCTGGTAAATGTGACAGTCATTAAATGAGAACTACAGGTATTGGGGAATAATCTCTGTTTTAAACTGAGGCTTTATTCCTCTTAAAGTTCTCTTGGAAATGTTTTATGCAAATTCTCTTGCAAGGCCAGGAGCTAAACATGAGTTTTTCTGCATGTAAAGCAAATATGTTATTGCTGACCTATGGCTCCTCCTATGCCATTTAACCTGGTAAGAAGAATCTGAAAGTGCCTGAATTGCAGGTAAATAGTTACTTTACTTTTTCAGTAATTGCCCCAACAATTCTTTTCAAAAGCTAACAAGTGGAATATTCAGTAACTTTGGAACAAATCAGCCAGCAGTTTATTGTAGAGTTTATTGACAAATTGTAATTAGATCTGTTGTCTTCTAGATGCTGCTGAACCACACTCCCAGAGGCCCCAATCAATAGAGATAGTTTGTGAGGAATTCTGGGAACTATCATTCATCATCTGGGAAGACTCAGGTTCCCATCTCTAGGAAGTTGTATGTAATTGTATAGGATGCAGGACATTTTTGCAGTCCTCAGCTCTGGACAATCTATTGCCATTGTCTCTGTTCTGCAGCTCAGCCATTTTTTAATGGTTCAGCCATGGTGCATCCAAATGTGCAGAAGGTAATTTCCCACCAGGAATACTGCATGCCTATGGGGCTCGTGATAGGCAATTTCCCTAATGACGAGGGCTTGAGACTTACTTACGGTATCTGTTTCAACCTCAGCTTCCCCCAACTTTCCATAGCAGTTCAGTCAGTGTTTTGCAGATCTGCAAATGCAGCTAAGAGGAAGTATTTTGGTTTTGTGTCTCCCCTTCTGCATGGGGAATGGGGATGGGGGCTCAACAGTAAAATGGACACAGACAGCACTAAAAATGTGGGGAGTGTTTGAATAGTGATATTTGTGCTTTCCTATTGGTCATCTTTATCGACATCATGATAATAGCACAATCAGCACAAAACATTTCATCATCATAAGATAGTTATTTCCAATCTGCTCTGGAGGTTGAACATATGTCAGTCTTATAAGGTAGACCAGCCTAAAAACTAGACACCCTTTTATTATAAACAGTAACTAAATATTGTAAGTCTGAATGTGCTTCCCTTCCCCCTTTTATCTTCATGAGACTTAAGAGGGGAGTGGGGCTATCTGAGACATTCTCATACACCATTTTATCAGCCTAGGCTCAATTTTCCTTTATCTGATTGTGGCCTTGGTAGCAGATCTTCCCTCCATCCTTCAGGGCCAGCCTCTTGTCTTGACCCACTCCAGGAAGTGAGAAAAGAAGCTCACAGCACCAAATGGCTGCCAATATTTAACTGGAGAATAAAGATAAATGCAGGCAGACCCTACTGCTCCTACGTCAGACAGTCAAGCCCAGATGGGCTGCAAAATGGCCCAACTTCCTGAAAGAGAACTTATTTAGCCGGGATAGCGGTAGGTCTTTAGTTTTCCAATTGGAAGGCCTCCCGCCATGCTCAAGGGGAATGGGGTCATCAAGTGCAACAACCACGCGCGTCCCGACCGCATCCTTAAAGGCGGCTTTCAAGCGAGCTTCCTTCGCCGCTTTCTTGCCTGCCTAGACACACCGCCCCACGTCTGCACTTGCGGACGTCTCGGCTTGGGTCAGAGCTACGTCATACATTCACTCCAACTCAACTCTCCCGGCCACCTCCTGCCGGGGGGGGGGGGAGGAGGAGGAGGCGGCGAAGGAGAAGGATAACGGAGGAAGGAGGGAGAGGTTTCCCCCTCCCCTTTCTTAAAAGCTGCTTCCGGTTCTGCTGCTGCCATCTTCTCTCTCTCTTTTTTTGAAAGCGGGAGGGAGGCTTTGAGGACTTACAAGTGAAATAAACGCGGGCAGCAGGGAGGCGGGGGGAGGAGGAAGGAGGAGCGGGAGAAGCCCGCGGTGACGCGCGAGCGCTGGATGCCGCGGGGCCGGCGGTCGGGAGGAAGCGCTCGGGCTTTCGCTCTGGAGCGCCTGATCCTTCTTACGTCGGAGAGGCGCTGAGAGAGGACTGCGGGGCGCGAGTCCAAAAAAAGAAAGAAAGAAAAAGGCACGGCGTCTGGACGGGCGCGGGCGGGCGGGCGTGGACTTCGCGGGCTGCTGACCTCACTTCTCGAGGTCAGCAGCCCCCTCCAAGTTACAGTCCCTCTCTCAAGCCGCCTACCCGTTTCTGGGCTGCGGGTCGGGAAGAGGCTGGGGCAGCGGCGGGGTTAGAAGACATCTCCCCCACCCCCCGCGTCCTCGCCGGCAACGGTGTGTCTGGAAAGAGTCAGCTTTCCTACCCGGGCTCGCTTCGCACAAAGCCAGCGCCTGGTTCCGCTCTCCCAGCTGCCCCCGCCCCGCCCCCTCCTCCTCCTCCTCTCCTGCCTTCCTTCTTTTGGCTTCTTTTCGCGCGATGGGCCAGAGAAGCTCCCTGAGCGACTCGCGGGCCGGCGCCTGAACTCCGGCCGCATTGCCTCTCCTGCTCGCCACTGCGTCTCCTGTCTTAGCCGACAGGCTCCCCCCCCCCATTCATTCTCCCTCCGGATCAGCCCGGCTCTGAAGCGCCGTAGAAAGAAAGGAGAGAGAGAGAGAGGCGAAGGCGGGCAGGAAGAAGCCGCCTCCATCTGGGCTCTTGGGTTCCGGCTTCCAGGAGCCGGGAAGAAGGGAAGGTAAGTTACAGCTGGATGGACGCCGTTCACCGAGATCTGCTCGGTCGTGGAATGCGCTCTTGACGAAGCCGGACTGCGACTGACTGAGCGATCTTTGTTAAATACCCTGCAGGGAAGGGAGATCAGGAGGCGAAACTCGAAGCGCCGAGGGTTCTTGGGGCTGCTGGGTGACTGCCCTCCCGTTTCTTTTATCGCAAGCGAGCGATCTCTCGCCCGCGAGCACAGACCAATTAAACCTCAAAGGGCTTTTTGAAAAGGCGGCCGGGGGGAGGGTGGGGGTATCGTTTTAACCCGTTTGAGTGTTGTTGTCATTGTTACTCTGCGCCGGGCTTTTGTCTGGAAGGGTCCGTCTGAAAGAATGTAGCCATCCAGGACAATTGCCAGCGGTCGCTCGATCTCAGTCGGCGTGACTTGATTCCGGTCCACTTTCTTTTGTTTATGATTCCGCGGCGGACTTGATGCGGGATGTAGTGTGTAGTGCAGTCCCGCGATAGATCAAATCACTTGGGTAAAGCAACCAGGAGCGATTTTATCTTAAGGAGGGAGGGGGCTTGGTAGCGGCATCTAAAATAGGAAATGTGCATCAAATTTGTCTTGCTCATTTTGGGGGGGGGGGAGACGTTCCCCGTGGGACTTCGGGTTAAAACATTCGTTTTCACTGGGACTTCGGAGAAGGGAAGCTGTATTTCCGTATATTGTTGTCTAGTCCTAGGATCACGCCTTTTCCCCGACTTCCTCATCTCTTAACCTGGTCACGCCTTAAACCGGTAGGTAAGATTGCTTTAATAGGGGAGATTGCTTTAATAAAGCCATAAACTGGGCGAACGCAGCCTTTGAACTTCTGCTGCTTTGTGTCTGAAGCTCGCCGGTGTCTTGTTTATTCCGTGCTTCACCGAGGCGGTTTCCGTCCGTCTTGAGCCACGCAGGTTGGGCAATGCTCCTCAAAGACTTGGGGGAGGGAGACGAACGGAGTGTGTATAGAAATTGCAAGAATGTAAGATGGGAGCTCTGTTATTTCTTTGGCAGCTTCCAGAGAGGAGAAGCTGGCGGGTCCACTTGAGCTGGGAACCGTGCCTATGCTGGATCCTTCCGAATCGTCTCTTGTCAGAACTTGAGATTTGATTTTCCTGGAACATTTGCTTTCTTTGAGGCTTTCACATTGGCTCTTCTTCTCCCTCCCCCTCCTTGTTTGGTAGACCTGTCGCTTTGTTCCTTCGAAGCTTCCTGCTCTAAAGTGTAGCTTTGCTTCTCTTTATTAAGGATATGCAACCTGAAGCAGTCCAGATCTCTTGCCAGAGGCTACTCTGGTTGGAAGTGATGTGGTTGGAGGAGTTTGCCTGTAAATCCTTAGCCATGAAGAGATGAAACAACATGAACCACTGGGGGGGTGCTTACACTACTTTACAAGGGTGTTGTAAATACAATTGACATACTATATATGGAATAGGCACTTATTTATAAGATTTTTTTTATCTCACATTTAATACTTTTATAAGTAACATAAAGTGGTGAACATAAGTAATACTCCTTCCTCCTCTTATTTTCTTAAATCTTTGCAAGGTGTTGGATAAACTAAAAATTGATTAATTTAAAACACGTGTAGACTTACATGAGCAGCTGGTTACTCTTTTTCTCAGATTAACTTTTACTGCCCTCCAGAAAAGTCACTTGGGAGAGTTAGGAATGTCCTAGAATGACATGATAGGTGAGCTGCAATTGAAGGAGAGTTGTCAAAAAGTTGAAAAGAGACATATAGTAGAAGCCCTCCATTCATGTAAGTTTAGATCTAAACAAGTATTTTCTGTAATAGAGGCATCCTTACCTGCTTACATGCACATGTTTAAGTGCCAAAAGAAGGCATCTTCTGATGTGCCTTTGGTCTTATCAAACTGTGGCTTACAAAATAATACTTCTTATAAAACTGGAGGATTCTATTTAGATATGACATGTATAATATGTATCTTTGTGTATGTGCCTTCGAGTCAGTGTTGACTCCTGGTGACCATCTGGACTAGTCCCTGTGGTTTTCTTGGCAAGATTTCAGAAGTGGTTTGCCACTGTCTTCTTTCCAGGGCTGAGAGAGAGAGACTGCTCTAAATCTCTGGTTGTCTTCAAGCCTAAAGCAGTATTACTGTAGAACTCAGTCTCCCAGTTTCTAGCCTGGTGTCTTAACCATTTCACCAAACTGATTCCCACTGGTTTATTGTCCATGAAGTTTGTTTGTTTGTTTGTTTCATCAATTCTCAAAGGGTCTAGGTGTTTACTGCATAATGGACTTAGCACCCTCTTGCTTTATATTACAGCCCTCCTATCACTAGCCATTGTTTAACTGCTGGAGTTTATGAGAATTATTGTCCATTAGATCTAGAAAGCATCAAATTTGATACTGTATAGTGAATTGAACAAGCAGATTGTGCATTAGCTGAAGTTGGGCATTGGCCTGTATTGAACTTATGGGTCTTCTACTTCTGATACAAAATCAGCTGTCCCATCCAACATTTGAAGAATGATAATGAAGATGGTCTGAGTTCACATACTATATATGTCATGTGTTTGATTAAAGAGCAACACATGTTGGAAAGAGGAAGTTAAGTTGCAAGACATGATCCTTAACCAAAGTTTTAGCATTTTAATTACAGACTTTTAATTTAATCTGTGAACTTGGGTTTGCTTTTATAAAACCAGTTAGAATAAGACCATTGTAAAAACCCTGGTCTGTAAACTAGACAGAGAAGTAGAAAACATATCCCCAAAGAATGCAGCGGCAAACCATTTTCATATTGTTGCTAATAAAATTAATTGGCCATAGCCATGAAAACACCAAGTCAAGGTTTTACATAAGGGGGACTGTTAGGCTGATTAAGTGCCACAAATCTCTGTAAAGAATATTAGCCATATTGCATCCCAGTCTCTTTTGAAATAAGATTTTTTTGTTTCAGTAGGGTGACCAAGTTGTACCATCAGCTAATAGAGGCTAATTCACACATGTCTTGCTCTCTCTGATCAGAGCATTGTTTAGCTATTTTACCTAATCATTAAGTCAATTGGTTTATTGCAAGATACTATATTTGAGGTGTTTCTAGAATTGACCTAGCTCCAGACAATAGAATGATCCATTAATAAGACTCCACACTTGAATAGAGCTTTTTAAGATGATATGATGCTAAGAGAATTCTCCATTTACATGTATCTCCTCCAGGTTAGAGGAGTTCACTGAGAATACATAGCATCCTGGAATTGACACTGGATATTTATTAGTTGAAATAACAACTACATCATAATAAACATTGTTGGCCATTCTTCTTATATGAAGAATTGTATAAACGTTTTGAAATGTAGCCACCCAGAGTAATTGATTGAGATGTATAGCTGTAGAAATTGAATGAATGAATGAATGAATGAAATAATAGCTTGATTGCCATCACATTATTTTTAGATAGATAGACAGACAGAAAGACAGACAGACAGACAGACAGATAGATAGATTCCCTTCAGAAATAATTCTGCAGTAGGATTAATTAGCTCCGGTTTTCTAAGATTCTTGAGAAAAACAAGGGATTGAGAATAATTCACGATTCTTCTAGTTCAGGGGTGTCTAACTGCTGGCCCATGAGTCAGATGCCTCATGCTGAAATCGCACCCACCCCATTGCCGGCAATGGAAAAAAAGTCACAATATGTCACAACACATCACGAGACATTGCGAGTTTGACACCCCTGTTCTAGTTATATTGTAACACAGGCATGTCAAACACGTGGCCCACAGGCTGGATGCAGCCCATGCAGGCCATGCCCATCCCAGCCCCGCAAAGGCAAAAAGGTCCCGATACGTCATGATACGGCCTGTGATGCGATCGGGTATGACACCCTGTTATAACTGGTTGCAAAGTTAAGGAACAGCTGAAGTTATTGGTTTTAAACCAAGAGTGAAGAAAAGTTTGTCTTGTTCGTAATAGCTATATATCTAGCTGTTTGTCTAAGTTCAAAGGCAGATCCAAAATTTAACTAGTATTAGTTAAAAATAGAGTGATGCTAATATTTGGTTTGGAGGATTAATTTCAAGCATTGAGTTTAATTGGTTGCCTCAGTTTAGACACACATGAAGAAATGGTTTTCTCCAAAACAAATTGACTTGTTTGCCTATTTGGTTTGAACATTTGAACTGAATTCCTGCACCAACCTCAATGTTTTTTCTCCAGAGATAATAGGTCAGTGAAGATTCTCTGTCTTTCAGGTAGGGTTGTCTGGAAGTGGAATCATGACAATTGGATTTCTTTTCTTGTTGGTTCAAAACATTTTGCTGCTTATCTAAGTAGATTCTTCAGTCTGAGCATTTTATCCATCTACACTTCATTACTATACTTGATTCATTTGTATTATCATCTTTTAAAGTATAAATAATAATAAAATGGAAAATATTAAAAAAATGCCAATAAGAAATTTGCAGGCACATTGAGTGAAATAATTGATTTTTCCAGTAATTGTAATAACGAATAACACTATCCTCAATTATTCATTATTTAACTCTCAGTCAGTGGTATCTTGAGCTTACATATTAAGATATGGGAAGGAGAGAACATCACTAATTGTTACAGCTTCAAGGACTGGTAGGATTCTAAAAAGAGACAAAACTATTACCAATGCTAAACCAAGAAGGCAACTGTTAATTTTCCAGATACCTTCTTGGAACAGTCCATGGACGAGCTCACTGTCATCTCAGTGGAAGGGACTAGCATTGCATAAGGAGTCTGAATACAAAAGTTTATCTAGATCAATTTTCAGGAATCCTTGCCATCTTCTAGGTGTGTAACTCCCAGAAATTCCAACCAGCATTCCTTCAAACCAGATTAGCAGGGTATTCTAGGGCAGGGTCTCACCATATCTAAAAAATGCCAGATTAGAAAAGTTTGATTTAGAACAGATCCCAAACTGGCTGGACTCACTTGTTTTTCATTGTTCCTTTGTTTCAGAAGCTTTTGAAGAAATCTAAGCATCATCTTC